CCACTTGTCAAGACAGGCCCATCGTGTGGGACTCCATGAAGAGCTCGAGCGCTCCCGCAACAGACGACCGGGGAGCCTGCTGCACTTCCGGCGGCCTGGCTCCCTCCGCCCCGACTCTCCTCCGCGGCGCCGCCCGGGAGGCTCGCGGAGGCGCTCGGGGCGCGCAGGCGCGGTCCCGACCGGGGCGCGGAGGGCGTGCGGGGCCGGGCGCGGGGCGCGGCGGGCGCGGGCGCGGCGGCGCGGCGCGCCGAGCGAGCCGCAGCTCCTGGCCGCATGCCCTGGCACACGTGGGCGCGCGGCCACGGGCCCCGAGCTCGGCTGCGCGCAAGGGCGACCCTGGGCAGGAGGGACCTCTGGCGCGCGGGCTGAGAGGGCGCAGGGGGACCAGGTCCAAGCGCGCAGGCAGCCAGCATCGCGTCGCGCTCCGCGAGCGGGGGGACCCCGGTGAGCCCGCACCAAAGGTCACTCCAGCCAAAGGTCACTCTTACGTGTAGTCGATGAGTATCCCCAGCGGCGTGGCCTGGGCCGCACTGGCCGATTCATCCCCCCAGGTGGGGATGTAGGCAATTCTTTTCGGATTTCGAAGGGGTGTCTCCCCAACTGGGGTGGTCATTTGGTGGGGGTCTCGGCGGGGATGGGGATGGGGATGGGGATGGGGATGGGGATCGGTTGAACGATACCGGTTTACCGGCGTAAAGCCCACCCAAACTGCAAATCAAGCAGAGGTGCAACACTCACAGCAGATTCGGGAGCGGCCAAGAGGGGGGGTGTCCAAGAGGGGGGGGTGCAAATCATGACCGGCGGCAGGTGCGCGGCCCAGCGGGGGGGCCAGGGACGTCATGAAATAAGAAGCGGCGACATGAAATATGGGGAAAAATCATGGCCCCCGCCATGATATCCCCCCCCCAGTCATCACCCCCCTCTTTGCCGCCCCCGGCAAATGCAAGAGCAGTGCTCCCCGAACCGTGCCGCTTTCCGGGCGGCGGCCAGAGCGTGCACCTTCCTGGGGCTGTCGGGCCGCCATCTGCGATCAAGGGGCGACTGGTGGTCGAGGCGTCCCCCCCTATGCCTGTCCCCCCTCATCGTTAAGTCGGGCCTGTCCCCCTACGGGGGGATTTTCGACGAAAACTAAAAAATACTCCCAAAATAATCAAAACATAATTTAAAAAATAGTCTGGGGACTATTTTTGGGGTATTTTTTGACCCTTTGGGGGCATTTGTGGGGTATCTGTTATTTTGTCGTCGAAAATCCCCCTGTAGGGGGACGCGCCCGACATAACCCTATCGCTGCCCCTGAAGCCAGGACGCCTCGCCGCTGCTCGAGCACCGGCGGCGGCAGCCCAGGCCCGCCAGCGCCCCGGGCGGGGGGCAGGCGCCGCCGCGAGGCCCCGCCGCGGGGGGCGGCGCAGCTTCGCGACCGCTGGGGCCCCGCCTGGTCGGGACCCCGCGGGTCCCCCTCGGTGAGGAGAACGTTTTGTCGACGAAGCGCAAGAGTGACCTCTGGGCAAGAGTGCCCTCTGGTGCGCGGTCTTGTTGGGGGTCCGCGGTTTTTTGGGGGTCCGCGGGTCCCCCTCGGTGAGGAGAACGTTTATCGTGCT